TTGGAGAAACTCTCCAGGACATTAGACTGGGCAAATATTTCTTGAGTAATATCCCACAAGCACAAGCAACCACAGCAAAAATGAACAGATGGGATCACATCAAGTTAAAAAGCTTCTGGACAGCAAAGGAAACAGTCAACCATATGAAGAGAAAGCACATATAATAGGAGAAAATATTTGGAAACTACTCATCTGACCAAAAATTAATAACCAGAATATATAAGGAGCTCAAACAACCCTATAGAAAAAAATCTAATAATCTAATTTAGAAAGGGAGAAAAGATATTAATAGCGATTTCTCAAAAGAAGAAACACAAATGGCAATCAGATCTATGAAAAGGTGCTTGACATGACTGATCATCAGAGAAATGCAAATGAATACTACAATGAGATATTATCTTACCCCAGGTAATATAGCTTATATCCAAAAGATAGGCAACAACAAATGCTGACGAGGATGTGGAGAAAAGAGAACCTTCATACATTGTAGGTGGGAATGTTATTTAGTACAGCCACCACGGAGAACACTATGCAGGTTTCTCAAAAAACAAAAAAAGCTACCATATAATCCAGCAATACCACTGTTAGATATATGTCCCAAAGAAAGGAAATCAGTATATTGAAGAGATGGAGCTAGATGTCATTATGTTAAGTGAAATATGCCAGGCACAGACAAATCTTCACATGTTCTCACTTATCTGTGGGAGCTGAAGAAGGTAAAACAATTGACCTCATGGAGATAGAGTGTAGAATGACGGTTACCAGAGCCTGGGAAGGGTTTTGGATGGTTGGGTTGGGGGAGTGGGTTGTGGGGATAATTAGTGGGTACAAAAATATAGTTAGATAGATTAAATAAGATTTAGTGTTTGATTGCACAACATGGTGACTGCAGTCAACAATAATTTATTGTACATTTAAAATAACTAAAAGTATAATTGGATGGTTGGAGCAGAAAGAGTAAATGCTTGAGGTGATGGATAGCCTATTTATCCTAATGTAATTATGAGGTATTATATGACTGTATCAAAACATGCCATGTACCCTATGTGTGTGTGTGTGTGTGTGTGTATGTGTGTATGTGTATATATATATATACCCTCTCTATAGGGCACATGAGATATATAAAAATTACATATATATATATATATATATATATATACACACATACCTACTATGTACCCACAAAAACTAACAATAAAAAATAAACAATAACATGTTATCTAAAATGATTAATTATAATTGAGCAATTACTACTGATATAAGGATGGATAGATTTTTTTGCATAAAATTGTAAAGCTCATTTCAAATTGGTATTCCTTTTTGAACAAAAAGGGAGCAGCAAGGTATTCTAAATTTTTTAGGAAACCAGTACTAGGTGAATCATGAGTAGAAAAGCCTAAAGATTATAGAAGTAACATTGAGTTACAAGTCATTGACGAGTCTCTGATGCAAAGCGATATACTAAGGACAATAATTAGTATAGAGGCTTTACCTTAACATGTGTTCTTTCCAGTTGACACTGTGTCCCATGTACTTCCTTTATTGTATTAGGGCAGCATATCGTTACCATTTGTTGTATCAACTCAAAAGGCTAGGGCCATGTTCCAAACATCTCCACCTTCCTTTAAAAAGCAGTTATAAATCTAAAATCCACTAATGTACATGTATATACATTATAGATTAGGTTAACATTCACAAAATGACTTGCTTCACCAACTAGGAGTAGCAATATATCATATCTCTTTTATTTTGCTAATTAATCATTCAAACAACAGGAGTTTCCTATTAGCAGGAAGTCTAACATCTCCCGATGGAGTGCTTTTTTTCCTGGTCATTCCAGATTGTTCAGCTGGCTTTCTCAGACCAAAAGCTAGCAGTCATATTTCCAAGGTAATTGCAAATTTGTGTTAATCTTCTATTTATAGTTTCCCATTGCCATATGACGCCATTATTGAAGGTTGGTTCTGTCCAGTTCCATAAATGTTCACCAGTTTGTGGTGACGCCTTTCTAGTCTAAGTTCCTACGTTGGGTTCCCTGCACTCTTGGGTTAATGTAGAGGGTGCCTGGTTAAGATTCTGAGTTCTGTAGTCCTGTGAACTGAATTTGAATATTGCCTTTGCTTCTTTTTAGCTGTGTGACTTAAGTCAAGTTATTGAACTTTCTGAGCCTCAGTTTCCTCCTCTATAAAATGAAGATAATAATAGAATTTATCTGATAGTGGTATTGTGAAAATTAAATGACACAACACGTATCAAGCAAACTGCCTGGCACCTCCAAGATTTGCAGGAAATGTGTGCTCTTACTATCACTGTGACTGCTATTATTACTATTAGTGATGCAGTAATCCTTTCCTGGAGAATAGCAACATTTCAAGTTTGCTGTAGTGCAGAGCTTAGTGTCTCTAGTATTTTTCTATAGGAAAGAAACTGGGGTCTCTATGCAAATTAGTCTACCTTGAACCCATGGCTCTCTGTACCGCAACAATTGACGTCCTGTTTGTACATTTCTCCAAGAAAAATGGGAAAGTTTATGGTCGGCAACTCATGGATAATTAAATTTGAGTGGTCAATACATATAATCTTACTAGTACTTAGGAAAACACAAATTAGATAAAAACGAGATCATTTTCTATACCCAACTCATCAACAAAAATAAATTTCTGATAATATCAATCTGTAGAGTTGTGGCGCAAAGGCAAACTTCATGTGTTGTAGGTGAGATGTTAAGTCATTAAAACCATTTCGGTTCACACTGTCTCTAAGTTTTAGGGAAAGGAAAAATAAATGTGATTTATTCATAAAATAGGACATTACACGGTACTAAAAGGAAGTGTGTGTGTATCTATCAACTTAGATACATTTGAAAAGCATAATGTTGAGTAAAAAAAAGCAAATTGCTAAAGGATGTATAGCGTATACCATTTACATACACTCACAAAACACTCAAATAAGTATACATATATATGTGATAAAATATTAAAACACACAGCCTAACATTATATACCAATATGAGGATGTCAGTTACTTCTGGGAAATGAGGGGGGCAGAAAGGAGGAACAGAGTGTTGGTGCAGTGGCTCATGCCTGTAATCCCAGCACTTTGGGAGGCCGTGGAGGGCTGATTGCTTGAGGTTAGGAGTTCGAGATCAGCCTGGCCAACATGGCAAAACCCCATCTCTACTAAAAATACAACAATTCGCTGGGTGTGATGGCGGGTGCCAGTAATCTCAGCCCCTCGTAGGCTGAGGCAGGAAAATCTCCTGAACCCGAGAGGCAAAGGTTTCAGTGAGCCAAGATCACACCACTGCACCCTAGCTTGGGCAACAGAGTGAAACTCCATTTCAAAAAAAAGGAAAGGAAAAAACAGAGAACAGAGGGGGGTTATAGCTCTGTATATAATATTTTATTTCCTTAAAAAATTTATGACTACATTGTAACATGTAGTTTGTTACATATGTGTGATGTTGGTAACATCTGTTACATATATGTGACGGGTTCATAGGTATATATAAAATCAATTTTTGTTTCTGTAAACATCAATTATTTAATAATTTGACATAAAATAAAGACAATTAGAAGGAAAAATAGCTCTTTTAGCCTTCGAGATAATTGGAAAACACTTGGGGAAGAATAAAATTAGATTACTATTTCATATCATATATCAAAGAATTCCCTATGGGGTTTAAATTTTAAATAAAAAGAAAGTAGAGCAGAAGATAATGTAGGCGATTATTTGTCTGATCTTAATAGGAAAAGTTTAAGCATATAGACAAAAGATATTTAGACAAAAGAAAAAAAAATACAGTTTTTCTACATAAAACTTAATGCTTTGCTATGTCCAAAATCTATAAACAAAATATAAATGATGAGCTATTTAAATTGGCATTGTTAACATGTAAAGGATTTGTAGAAACAATAGATATAAAAGTATTCCATGAGAAAAATATGATTATGACAAGAACAATTTTCAAAGGGATAAATAACAATGACCAAAGTGTCAACGTGTTCAGCAACATGGTTATCAACTTTATGCCTCTCAGCTCCAAATTAACCCTCAGTACCTGCTCCAATATAATGGACTGGAATCTTTTTTTTCTTTTGAACTTTTAGATTTAAGGGGTACATGTGAAAGTTTGTTTCATAGGAAAATTGTAGATAATGGGGCTTGTTTTACAGATGGTTTTGTCACCTAGGTAATCAGCATAACACCCAATGGGTAGTTTTTCAATCCTCACCCTCCTCCCACCCTCCACTTCCAAGCAGGCCCTGGTACTTATTGTTCCCTTCCTTGTGTCCATGTGTACTCAGTGTTTAGCTCCCACTTATAAGTGGGAACAGGTAGCGTTTGGTTTCCTGTTCCTGCATTAATTCAGTTAGGATAATAGCCTCCATCCATGTTGTTACAAAGGAAAAACTATGCATCTGATGAAGGTCTAATATCCAGAACCTGTAAGAAACATAAATCAACAAGCAAAAAACAAACAATCCTATTAAAAAGTGACTAAAGAACATGAACAGACACTTCCAAAAGAAGACATACATATAACAAATAAGCATATGAAAAAAAGCTCAATATCATTAATCATTAGGGAAATACAAGTCAAAAGCAAAATAAGATACAATCTCCTACCAGTCAGCATAAGTATTAATATTATTAAAAATCAAAAATAACAGATGCTGACAAGGTTGCAGAGAAAAGGGAATGATTATATGCTGTTGGTGGGAATGTAAATTAGATTAGCCATGTTGCTGCAAAGGACATGCTCTCAGTTTTTTTTTAATGGCTACATAGTAGTCCATGGTGTAGAAGTATATTTTCTTTATTCAGTCCACCACTGTTGGGGCATTTAGATTGATTCAGTGTCTTCATTATTGTCAATAATGCTGCAATGAACATACATGTGCATGTGTCTTTATGGTAGAACCCTTTATATCCCTTTGGTATGTACCCAACAATGGTATTTCTAGGTCAAATGGCATTTCTATTTTAATTTCTTTCAGAAATCTCCAGACTGCTTTCCACAGTGACTGATCTAATTTACATTCCCATCAGCAATGTGTAAGTGTTCCATTTTCTCTACAAGCATCTGTTATTTTTTGACTTTTTAACAATATCCATGCTGACTGTGTGAGATGGTATCTCATTGTGGTTTTGGTTTGCCTTTCTCTGATGATTAGTGATACTGAGCTTTTTTTCATATGCTTTTTGATTGCGTGTGTTTCTTCTTTTGAGAAGTATCTGTTCATATCCTTTGCCCATTTTTAAATAGGGTTGTTTGGTTTTTGCTTGTGATTTATGTTCCTTATAGATTCTGGATATTAGAACTTTGTCAGATGCTTAGTTTGCAAATATTTTCTCCCATTCTGTAGGTTTTCTGTTTATTAAGTTTCTTTTGCTGTTCAGAAACTCTTTAATTAGGTCCTGCTTGTCAATTTTTATTTTTGAAATTGCTTTTGGAGTCTGCATCATGAAGTCTTTGCCAGGGCCTATGTCAAGAATGTTATACTCTAGGTTTTCTTCTAGGGTTTTTGTGGTTTTGGGTTTTTACATTAAAGTCTTTGATCCACCTTGAGCTGATTTTTGTATATGGTGAAAGGTAGGGGTCCAGCTAAAATGTTCTGCATATGGCTAGCCAGTCATCCCTGAGCCATTTATTGAATAAGGTGTCCTTTCTCCATTGCTTGTTATTGTCAGCTTTTTCAAAGACAAGATGGTTGTACGTGTATAGCTTTATTTCTGGGTTCTCTATCTTGTTCCAGTAGTCTCTGTGTCTGTTTTTGTACCCAGAACTATGCTGTTTTGGTTATTGTAGACTTGTAGTATAGTTTGAAGTTGGTTAGTGTGATGCCTCCAGGTTTGTCTGTTTTTGATTTGGATTGCCTTGGCTGTTAGCCAGGCTCTCTTTTGGTTCTAAATGAGTTTCAGTCAACAGTTCTTCTAATTCTGTGAACCATGTCATTAGTTGTTTGATAGGAATAACACTGAATCTGTCAATTGCTTTTGGCTGTATGGCCATTTTAACAATATTAATTCTTCCTATCCTTGAGCGTGGAATGTTTTTTCATTTGGTTGTGTCATTTCTGATTTCTTTGAGCAGTATTTTGTAATTCATTGTAGAGACCTTTCACCTTCCTGGTTGGCTGTATCCCTAGGTAATTTATCCTTTCTGTGGCAATCGTGAATGGGATTGCATTCTTGATTTGGCCCTCAGCTTAGCTGTTGTTGGTGTACAGAAATGCTACTGATTTTTGTACATTGATTTTGTATCCTGCAACTTTGCCGAAGTTAGTTTATCAGTTCGAGCATTTGGGCAGAGGTTATGGGGTTTTCTAGGTGTAAATCCATATTGTCTGCAAGCAGGGGTGGTTTGATTTCCTCTCTTCCTACTTGGATGCCTTTTATTTCTTTCTCTTGCCTGATTGCTCTGACTGGGGCTTCCTGTACTTTGTTGAATAGAAGTAGTGAGAGTGGGCATCCTTGTCTTGTTCCAGTTAAGTGGAATGCTTTCAGCTTTTGCCTGTTTATATGATGTTGGCTCTGGGTTTGTAATAGATAGCTCTTATTATTTTGAGGTATGTTCCTTCAATGCCTAGTTTGTTAGTGATTTTTAGCATGAAGGGATGTTGGATTTTGTGGAAAGCCTTTTCTGCACCTGTTGAGAGGTAATGTAGTTTTTGTTTTTAGTTCTGTTTATGTGATGAATCACATTTATTGATTTGTATAGATTACACCAACCTTGCATCTCAGGAATAAAGCCTACTTGATTGTGGTGGGTTAACTTTTTGGTGTGCTGCCAGATTCAGTTTGCTAGTATTTGTTGAGGATTTTTAAATCTATATTCATCAGGGTTATTGGTCTGAAGTTTTCTTTTTTTTCATTGTGTCTCTGCCAGGTTTCAGTATCTGGATCATACTGGTCTCATAGAATGAGGTAGGAAGGAGTCACTTCTCTTTGATTTTTTGTAATAGTTTCAGTAGGATTGGTACCAGCATTTCTTTCTACATCTGGTGGAATTTGGCCGTGTATCTGTCTGGTCCAGGGCTTTTACTGATTGGTAGCTTTTTTTTTTTTTTTTTTTTTTTTTATTACTGATTCAATTTCAGAACTCATTATTGGTTGTTCAGAGTTTCCATTTCTCCTTAGTTCAATATTGGGAGGTCGTGTGTTTCCAGGACTTTATCCATTTCCTCTAGGTTTTCTGTTTGTGCACATACAGGTGTTTGTAATAATCTCTGAGGGTTTTCTGTATTTCTGTAGCAACAGTGGTAACGTCTTCTTTGTCAATTTTGATTGTGCTTATTTTTATCTTCTCTCTTTTTTAAATTAGTCTAGCTAGTGGTCTATCAGTCTTATTTATTTATTAAGAATCAACCTTTGGTTTCATTGATCTTTTGCATATTTTTTCTAATCTCCATTTCATTCAGTTCAGCTCTGATTTTCATGATTTCTTTTTTTCTGCTAGATTTGGATTTGGCTTGCTCTTGTTTTTCTAGTTCCTCTAGTTGTGATGGTAGGTTGTTAATTTGAGATCTTTGTAACTTTTTAATATGGATATTTAGCACTATATACTTTCCTCTTAACACTGTTTTTGCTGTGTCCCAGAGATTCTAGTATGTTGTATCTCCATTTTCATTAATTTCAAAGAGTTTTTTGATTTCTGTTTTAATTTCATTGTTTGCCAAAAAGTCATTCAGGGGCCTATTGTTTAATTTAATTTTCATCTAATTGTATGATTTTAGAGAGATATTTTTGATATTAATTTCTATTTTTGTTGCACTGTGATCCAAGAATGTGGTTGGTGTCATTTTTTAAAAATTTGTCGAGATTTGCCTTATAGCTAAGTGTGTAGTTGATTTTAGAGCATGTCCCATGTGCAGCTGAGAAGATTGTATGTTCTGTTTTTGTTAGGTGGAGTGTTCTGTAGATGTCTGTTAGGTCAGTTTGGTGAAGTGCTGAGTTCAGGTCCCAAATATCTTTGTTACTTTTCTGTCTTAATGATCTGTTTAGTACTGTCAGTGGGGAATTGAAATCTCCCACCATGATTGTGTGGTTATCTTAGTCTCTTTGTAGGTCTCTAAGGACTTGTTTTATGAATCTGAGTGCTCTGTGTTGGATGCATATATATTTAGAATAGTTAAGTCTTCTCATTGAATTGAACCCTTCACCATTATGTAATGTCCTTCTTTGTTTTTTTAAATCATTGTTGGTTTAAAATCTGTTTTGTCTGAAATTAGAATAGCAACTCTAGCCCTTTCTGTTTTCCATTTGCTTTGTAAATTTTTCTTCATCTCTTTACTTTGAGCCTATGGGCATCATTGTATGAGATGGGTCTCTTGAAGACAGCATATAGTTCGGTCTTCCTTTGACATCCTGCTTACCACTCTGTGCCTTTTAAGTGGGTCCTTTAGCCCATTTACATTCAAGACTATTACTGATATGTGCAGATTTGAACCTGTCATTTTTTTATTAGCTGGTTGTTATGCAGACTTGATTGCATAGTTGCTTTATAGTGTCAATGGTCTATGAACATAAGCACATATATAGACCATTGTTTTTTTGTGGTGGCCAGTAATGGTCTGTAATATCCATGTTTACCACTTTCTTAAAGACTTCTTTTTAGGCAAGTCTGGTGGTAATGAATTCCCTTACCATTACTTGTTTGGAAGGTATTTTATTTCTCCTACACTTATGAAACTTAATTTGTCTGAGTATAAAATTTTTGGTTGGAATTTCTTTTCCTCTTTTAAAATGAGCATAATGTCAAGCTTTGTTAGTAGATTAGGCTGGAGGGATGTTACTAGGGTAAGGGATGTTCTACTGGGTCTGGTGTGCTATGTTTTGTTTATGCTGCTGAAGTTGCATCATGAGCCTCAGCTATATGCATACAGTGCACACCCCCTCAGTGATCTCACAACCCCAACCTAGACTTGTTTTACACTTTCATGTGGTCCTCCTAATGCGGAAACTACACAGTGCAAAATGAGTCTGCAGAGGTACCCTGACTGCCCCTGCATGCCCACCCAGCAATCTGGGTCACGTGTAACCTGAAAGGTTGTAACTCATGGCTTTTCCAGAGTGACACCATACCCTCCAGGCCTGTGTCCACAGTGCCATTGCTGTATTTGTTCTCATACCTGCCCATCCAGCTTTGGCTCAGCTGCATGCCAGAGGCCTTCTTCCTACTTGCTGGGTGACTGGGACCAACTCTTTGGATTTTTAATGCACTCAGGCACATTTCATGACAAATAATTTAATATGAGCATGCTATTCTCTTTTTGACTTTTGTAATCATTCCCAGATAGAATGTTCCATACTTGTTATACAACAGAAAGAAATGACTTGATTCTCCAAAATTAAGTAATTTTTGACTTAGGACATTTTTAATTTATTTGTAAATCTTTACCAAGATTTACAATACCTTAATAAGAAAACACAAATTCTGCTAATGATATTCACTTAAAAAACTGCTTAGTTATTTGTATTCCAACTGTAATAGGCAGATAGTGACTGAAGCTGGTATCAACAATCAAGATTTATTGATCCTAGGTAAGTATTATAGAAAATAATATTAAGGTCAATACTGGCTCACGAGACCATTGATCTTGTATGAAGGCTAAAATGTATCAGTATTTCCATTATAGCACTACCTCATGAAGATTTCTTTTATGAACTGTAGTCTTCAGGAAGTATATGGTTCATTCTGAAGGAGGATGAGAAGACCATTTAGAAACTGTTAGAATTATGGGCATGAAGACTGAACAATAGTGCAGTTTAGTGGAACATCACAAATTCTTTCCTAAAAGCACTTTTGCAGTTTATTTTTATTTTGGTGGTTGCGTTTTTACGTGGAGTGCGACTGGTGCTAGGATGGTGCTGTTGTCAGCCATGAAAAGGCTCAGGGAAGAAATGTAGAGAGAATCAATGGGTTTAAGAATAAAGATGGCAGATCAGAACTGGGAGGATGAGCAGAGCTGAGAAGAGTCATTTAGATGTTCACTTATAATAATACTTCCCTGTTCTGTATAGCTCCTTTATGTACAGTTCTACTGTAGTTTGCA